TTCCAGTAAGGTTTCCACATTTTCACCTTCCAGGGTAGACCCTGCTATGTCCCATCTAAACAGTGTCCAGTTTCAGGACCTAATCTAGGGAAATGAGCCCTTCACAATGAGCCTTGATTTTATCCAACAAGACAGAATACTGAAATTGGAGTTCTGTGGCACAGGTGCTCTGATTAATTGGTTTTATTTATTATATCTAGTAGGACCCAAGATTTTTATTGTGGGATAAACTTACAGGTGCAAAAATTTGGTCTATGATGAGTGGTGCTGGATTTCTAGGGGAACACCTAGTGGTCTTTTCTTGGAGGCAGGACCCCCAGGGATGCCTCTGGAATCCCTGTTTCCAATCCTGACACTACGATTTCACTTTTAGTTACATTTGGGACGGGAGAGGAAAGGAAAAGCCCACCCCTCCAGTCACAGAATTCCATACGTAAACAGTCTGTAAAGTCATCTTTCCTGAAGGGGAATTGGGCTCAAGGGTATAATTCTCCAGGCTGACTTGTATTCCACTTGGGGGGAATCAAGGTTTAGGAGTGGCCTCTCATTTCACTTGCTTATTTTAGAATTAATAAATGGTAAGGAAGACCTTTGTGGAATCTTCATTTTGGTTTGGAATTTAAACTTAGGCTTAAGTATTTCCAAGAAGTACATGTCTGTCTTTTTCTAAGTATTTTGGCTCCATGATATTCCCCTTGAACTATTCTTTGGTGGATGAGAAAACATGCTTTGTCCTTTCTCCAATATGCCTTCATGGGCATAATTTTCTGAAAATTCAGTATTCTCACTTCCACAAGCTTTAGAACTCATCTCTGAAAGGAAGGATAGGTAAGAAGCAGATTCCTCTTCGGGTTATAACCATCCACAGAGACAGTGTAGCATCACGCCCAGATGGTGGGGTCAGTTGCATCACTATTCTCAAGCTGGGTGGCCTTGGGCAGGCCATTTATTTTTTCTAAGCCTCAATTTCCTTACTTATGAAATGAACCTAATTACCTTCCTAACAGGGGTGAGTGAAGATGAAATGAGATAATAAACTTAAAGCACTTAGTCTTTAGGGGTTGGCACTAAGGAAGGGCTCAATAAATATGAGCCTATAATTATTAATAGCTATTATTTGCTCTGCATGCATACAGTTCCTAGGACTGTGCCACCAGCAGGGAGGCATCACTGTAGGCAAAGCCCAGCTACCACAGTCAGGGAGCTGGACTGGAGTTCCTGGTTCAGCTGCTAATTTATGTAATATTTGTTATATATTTAAGAATAAAATTTTTGGTAAGTTATAAAGTATAATGATGGAGCAATTACTCATGCATCTACTCCTTACTTTTACATGCATCTACTCCTTACTTTTTAGTTCCTCCCCTAGCCCTTCCCCCTGCCTTTCCTTAGATGAGACCACCACTTAGAACTGTGTTTATTATTTCAAACTTTTTAAAAGGAATATATGTACAGTTGACCCTTGAACAATGTGGGGATTGGAGTGCTGACCCTCTATGTGGTTGAGAATCCATAAATAACTTTTTTTTTAAGACAGAGTCTCATTCTGTTACCCAGGTTAAAGTGCCATGGTGTCAGCCTAGTTCACAGCAACCTCAAACTCCTGGGCTCAAGGGATCTTCCTGTCTCAACCTCCCAAGTAGCTGGGACTACAGGTGCATGCCACAAAACTCAGCTAATCTTTTGTTTTTCTGTTTTTAGTTGTTTGGCTAATTTTTTCTATTTTTAGTATAGAATGGGTCTCACTCTTGCTCAGGCTGGTCTCCAACTCCTGACCTCAAGCGATACTCCTGCCTCAACTTCCTACAGTGCTAGGATTACAGGTGTGAGCCACGGTGCTCGGCCCATGAATAACTTTTTTTTTTTTTGAGACAGAGTCTCGCTTTGTTGTCCAGGCTAGAGTGAGTGCCGTGCGTCAGGCTAGCTCACAGAACCTCAAACTCCTGGGCTCGAGCGATCCTCTGCCTCAGCCTCCCGAGTAGCTGGACTACAGGCATGCGCCACCATGCCGGCTAATTTTTTTTATATACATATCATTGGCCAATTAATCTCTTCTATTTATAGTAGAGGACGGGTCTTGCTCTTGCTCAGGCTGGTTTTGAACTCCTGACCTTGAGCAATCCGCCCCACCTCGCCTCCAGAGAGCTAGGATTACAGGCGTGAGCCACCTACGCCGCCCATGAATAACTTTTTTTTATATTAAAATTTTATTTTTTTTTTAAGCAGTCAAATTTAGCAGTGGGGGTTGAATACCAACTTTAATGACAATAACGTTAATAAGTTCTGATAACCCACTACCATTGGATCAGCCAACCATGAATAACTTTTGACTCCTCAAACTTAACTACTAACAGCCTACCGTTGATTGGAAACCTACTGAAAACAAATAGTTGATTAATGTATATTTTCTATTTTATATGTATTATATGCTATGTTCCTTTAGAGAAAAATGTTTAGAAAATCATAAGGAAATATATTTACTATACATTAAATAGAGTGGGTCATCACAAAAGTCATCATCTTCATGTGAGAAGAGAGGAGGAAAAGAGGAGGGTTGGTTTTGCTGTCTCATGGGTGGCATAGGCATAAGAAATTTGCAAATAAGTGGACGTGTGCATTTCAAACCTGTGTTGTTCAAGAGTCAACTGTATATTTCCCAAAATGATAAATTGCTTTATTTGCTGTTTTTTGAGCTTGATAAAGTGATACTACATTGTATGAGGACTTCTGCATTTCCTCCTCAATTCTAAGACTGATTTATTCATGAAGTTGAGGGTAGCTTTATTCATTTGCACTGCTGTATATATTCTATTCTACTCCAATTCATCTTCTCTTGTTGGTGGCAATTGTTTTCTCTTTTTGCTACTATATATGGTGCAAGTCTCCTGGTATGTGCAAGAGTTTCTAGAGGACATATTAAGTAGAAAGGAGTTGCAGAAGCATGAGATAATTTTCAGGGTACTTTCTTTCTTTTTTTTGTTGCCCAGGCTAGAGTGAGTGCCGTGGTATCAGCCTAGCTCACAGCAACTCAATCTCCTGGCTCAAGCAATCCTATTGCCTCAGCCTCTGAGTAGCGGGACTACAGGCATGTGCCACCATGCCCGGCTAATTTTTGTATATATTTTTTTAGTTGGTCAATTAATTTCTTTCTATTAATAGTAGAGATGGGTCTCACTCTTGCTCAGGCTGGTTTCGAACTCCTGACGCCGCCTCAGCCTCCAGAGTGCTAGGATTACAGGCGTGAGCTACCACGCCCAGCCACAGGATACTTTCTAAAAGGTCGGCTTAATTTGACCATTCTATCCTTTCTGAGTCTCAGATTCCCATATCAAAAAATAAACAAAGCTGGGTGCAGTGGGACATGCCTGTAATCAAAGCTACTCAGGATGCTGAGGCAGGAGGATCACTTGAGCACAGGAGTTTGAGATCAGCCTGGCCAACTAGTGAAACCTCATTTCAAAAGAAAGAAAAACAAAAATTTTTTGAACTTAAATGAGCAATATATATGTAAGTGCGACTATAACATACCATACAATGTAAATGAATGTTACTAAAATAGGATAGTAATATTGACCCAACCTTAACAGAGAGAGCAGAAGTGCACTAGTTAGTGGAGACTGGAGTTAACATTTATTGAATCACTACTATTTTGTTTGCATTTGGCACCTTATTTAATCCTCACCACAATTTTAGGAGGAGGTATTATTTTCACAAATTTATGGATTGAAATACTAAGGTTCAGAGATGTAAAGTTACTTGCTCAAGCTTATATAGCTAGTGATGGAACTGTTGTTCAAACAAAGCATAGTTCTATCTAATAGGTGTTTTAAAATACCCTGGATACAATGCTGTACAAAGGATCTCCAAATGTATCTCTTTTAGTCTCTGAGCTCAGGACCTATTCCTTCACTTATAGACACACATTTTGAGATAAAACTGGCTCTTACCAAGGTAAGAAAACAGATTTAAGCCAAGAACTCTCAGAGAGATGCCTATGGCTAAACTGCTATCAACTTCTTGTCAACCTCTTTCCTTCTTCCTTCATTCTCTTATTCCTTTTCTTTCCTTTTAAATTCAATAAAGTATTTTTTTAAAAAGTTCTGATTGCAGAACTATATCAGGAGATATATAGAACAGAAGCTTGAAAAGACCTATTTCCTATTCTTTAGATCAGTCTAGAGAGTAGATCACACAAAAGCATAATTCAAGGCACATTTTTTTTTTTTTTTTGAGACAGAGTCTCGCTTTGTTGCCCAGGCTAGAGTGAGTGCCTGGCGTCAGCCTAGCTCACACAACTCCAAACTCCTGGCTCAAGCAATCCTCCTGCCTCAGCCTCCCGAGTAGCTGGGACTACAGGCATGCGCCACCATGCCCGGCTAATTTTTTTTCTATATATATTAGTTGGCCAATTAATTTCTTTCTATTTATAGTAGAGACGAGGTCTTGCTCTTGCTCAGGCTGGTTTTGAACTCCTGACCTTGAGCAATCCGCCCGTCTCGGCCTCCCAGAGAGCTAGGATTACAGGCGCGCCCGGCCCCCAATAATCTTTTAAAAACCATACTTTTACCTACTTCATGCTGTCCTGTTCAAAAGCACTAGGGCGAATGCGGAAAATGAATATCGAGGGAAGTGGGACTTAAGCAGAGTCTTGACCTCTGCAGAGGTGAGCTAAAGGAAACAGGAGGATGAGGAGGAGCAAACGCGCACATGTAGGGAGCGTTCGGAAAACCGTCCAAGAGTCCACCTGGGGTGGAGAGGATTCGGTAAGGCTACAAGGAGAGCTCCTCCCACGCCCCAGAGCGCTGACTTGGTACACAGCAGGTACCAAACCTCAGACAGCCACACAGAGACGTTTACTCCGCTACTTACGCCAGGTCCTGTCTGCGATTGCCCAGCCCATCTCCGGGGGCGGGGAGCCGTGGCGTATCTAGCCTATCATCGCTGTCGAGGCCGACGAAGTCTCTTCTTCATTGGCAACCGCCAAGGTGACGTCATATTCGTCGGGTCGGCGAAGGAAGAGGGCGCCATGATTGGCTGGCGCTGGGGCGGCGGGCGGTGGAAGAGCCTGGCGAGTCTGGGTTTCAAGCCTATGCTGGACTTTCTGCTTCCAGGTTTCCAGGCCGTGGGGGGCTACCGAGGGCGGGGAGTCGGCTCTGCGGAACTTGGATTAGGTTCTGAGGATGGTGGGGTTGAAAAGGGGTGACCGGAAGTGATTTGGGGATTGACCGGAAGCGAGGCCTGGAGGGGAAAGACGGAGCAGGTCCCGGGAGGGAGGGGGCTTCCAGCAGAAGGGGGCGGGGGAAAAGGTGCTAAAGCGGCGTGGTAGCGCCCGGCTGGCGTCCTGCCGCTGCCGCTGGTTGTCTGGAAAGCAGCGAACAATCACCACTAGCTCAAGGGGATAAGCCCAAGGAGTAGGAGTGCGGGAGTCCACAGCTACCTCTGGAAAGTCTCAAATAGTTGAGCAAAAGGGGCCTCACGTTCCTGAGAGCAGGGTAGGAGGGATTTTTGGAAGCCGGGACAGCCAAGAGCGAGGAACCAAGGCTATGGGAGATTAGTTGTGCGGGCAGTGCTGATCGGGCTTGGGGTTAGCTGGTGGGCACTGCGTGAGAGATCTTGGTTTGGAGTTTTCTACTGTCTTGCCCCCATTGGGTAGAATCACGCTCCGCGCCTTTGTACAAGAAACGGCGTCTCCTGGGGCAAGGAAGGAGCCAGGATGGCCTGGGCTCTGAAGCTGCCTCTGGCCGATGAAGTGATTGAATCCGGGCTGGTGCAGGACTTTGATGCTAGCCTGTCCGGGATCGGCCAGGAACTGGGTGCTGGTGCCTATAGCATGAGGTGAGTGAGATTTCCCCCAGACCCTACACCTTCTTAGTAACAAAGGCAGGGTAGAGAATAAGAAAGGGGTGAGGGAGAGAAGGTGCATAGAGTTTGGAACGCTGTCTGCGGTTGGGAAAAGGGACTTGTTCTTTTGTTGCTTTGAGTACTGAATGTTGTGGAAGAAACGGAAAAAGAGATTATAGGTAATGTGAAGTCTGTGCAGGATTGGTGGAAGAAGGAAGAATGGACCCTGATTAGCAACCAGATGAATATTGAGAGGCTTTGTGCCAGTGTGGGAGACCTGGAGACTGAGAGTGTATATGTAAGTGGTTTTATGTAAAGAAGAGGTTACATTTAGCATATGAGGGATGTCTAGCAATCTGGGGAGTTGGGAGCTTGGGCTTAATGATGAATGTTGGTTGGTTGCTTGTTGGAAAGAAATGAGAGACTTTGGTGAAGAAGTGTACACTGCTGTATCTTCACTGGCCTTAAGGCTTTACTTAATTTTAGAGTTTCTGTCTTTTAAAACATAAACCTTGGAAATGGCAAAGAGAACTTTTAGATACCTCTAGATCTTCATGTATCAAACTAATTGTTTTTTTGTTTTGGTTTTTGTTTTTTTGAGACTGAGTCTCACTCTGTTGCCCTAAGTAGGGTGCCTGGCATCAGCCTAGCTCACAGCAACCTCAAACTCCTGGGCTCAAACGATTCTGCCCCAGCCTCCCAAGTAGCTGGGACTACAGGCGCTTGCCACCACATCTCGGCTAATTTTTCTATTTTTAGTAGAGACGGGTCTCACTTGCTCAGGCTGGTCTCCAACTCCTGAGCTCAAGTGATCCTTCCGCTGCTAGGATTACAGGCATTAGCCACCATGCCCAGTCTCAAGCTAATTGTTGATAACAGAGTAAAAATTTCCTTTGAATGCTGCATTACTGCCTGTGTAACTTATGTATGCATTGGGTACTCATTCCCTCAGTATAGTTTGTTTCATTTATAGATGTGCAAGAATCATGTGTGGAAATGTTGAAACATCTGCATTTTCAAGTTGGATGGGACTATAATTGGGTTTCCTAATGCATTATAAGGTTTAATCTAAATAAGTGAGTCAAGAGACTAGAATTTAACACTTTCATTGGGTTTATGAGTTTATAGGGGAAAGATCCTTTTTATGGGGAAAGTGGACAAAGTTTTCAACCTGCTAGTGAGATCCTTTAAAAGTTATATAAAGTTCCTTTCTTTATCCCTGCTAATTCAAAGTGGACTTTCCTTACTGCAGTAAAATTATGAGTTAGAACTTAATACTTAAGCCTCTTCAGGAGTCTTTGCTTACAGTTAGAATAATAAAGGCTATACTTGTATAAATATTTTAGTGATTTTCAGGGAAATTTGAATCCTATCATGGAATGTTCTTAGTCATGAGAAAGTGAAATTTAACTGTAGTTTTGCCTGTCCTTGTTTACTTAAGTCTGACCATAAAAATAGAGATTAATTTGGTCTGAGAGTAAAGACCCTGACCCCAAGCTTTTCTTTTTTTTTTTGAGATAGGGTCTTGCTTTATATCCCAGGCTAGAGTGCAGTGGCCTCGTCATAGCTCATTGCAACCTCAAACTCCTGCACTCAAGCAATCCTCCTGCCTCAGCCTCCCAAGTAGCTGGGACTACAGGCGTAGGCCACCATGCTTGGCTTATTTTTTCTATTTTTTTGTAGAGATGGGGTCTTGCTCTTGCCTGAGCTAGTCTCGAACTCCTGGCCTCAAGCAATGCTCCTACCTCAGCTTCCCAGAGTGCTAGGATTACAGGTGTGAGCCGTCTCCCCTGGTCAGTATTTGATAATTGTTATCCTATTGTTTGACAGAAAGTTTGATTCTGTTTAGGTTACCAGAGTTTAGGATGGAAATACTTAAATATAACTGTACTTGTTATAAAAATAGTTACTATCATCAGCAAATATTTATTTACTGTGTGTACTATTATATGCTCTTGATACCATGTGACCTTACATTTAAGTGCTTTCCAAATCATACCCTGTGTGATCTTCACAGATATTAGAATGGCTTGTATATTTACACGTTTAGAATTTTTTTCCAACATCAAATCCACAACAGTTTTCAAACATCACTTTGTTTTCTTGAGAACACAAGTTGCCAAAATTTTAAATACTTCTTCCTTTGCTTTTTTTTACCTTCCTCTTTTTCATGTATTATGTACTTGTCACTATTCTTTTTGACTCTTAGGCACATTTAATCTTTTGCTTTAATTTATGTCAATTAGATACTGGTTCTCAAACTTTAGTATTCATAAGAGTCATCTGGAGTGCTTATTAAAAATACAATTTACAGCGTCCTATTTCCAGTGATTCTCTGGGGCACAGACCAGAGATCAGATTTTTAAAACAAGTTCTCCTATGTAATTTCGATGCAGGTAATCCAGGGACTACGCTTGGAGAAACACTATATAGGGTAGTTTGTATACATAAAGACAATGATTCTTCGCTCTTCTTGTTTCTCCTTTTAATAAGAGATTGTGATCTTTTCGTACCACTCTCCACCAATAATCTTTGCCAACTGGTTCTAAGAGTCTGTGGTGGCTGGGCGAGGTGGGTCATGTCTGTAATGCTAGCACTTTTGGAGGCCAAGATACGAGGATTGCATGAGGCCAGGAGTTTGAGACCAGCCTGATCGAGACCCTCTCTTTACAAAAAATGGAAAAATTTGTCAGACGTGGTGGCATGGGCCTATAGTCGCAGCTACTTGGGAGGCTGAGGCAGGGGGATTGCTTTAGCCTAGGAGTTGGAGATTGCAGTGAGCTATGATGACCCCACTGCACTCTAGTCCAGGTGACAGAGTGAGGCTCTGTCTCAAAAAAAAAAAAAAAAAATTAAAAAAATTGATGGATCAGTCTCTTTTCTTATACCTTAATTGGGGAAAATGTTCTCTTTGACAAGCAATTTGTTTTGTAGAATATTTTCCCTAACGTATTTGTTTTGCCCGAGTCCACTTGTTTTCTGCTGCATCTTATAACGGTTTCATCTTCAGATCTATTGATTTATATTTTAAAAGATTCATCTTTATTGGATTTGTTTAATGTTCTTTTTATAAGTAGATCTCTAATATTATTCTTACTTTTTTCTTGTATTTTTTTTTCTTTCTTTTTTTTTTTATTTTGGCATATTATGGGGGTACAGATTTTAAGGTTTCAATAAATGCCCATCTCCCCCCCTCCTGCCACAAGTCTGAGTCTCCAGCATGACCATCCCCCAGATGGTGCATATCTCACTCATTATATATGTATATACCCGCCCCCCTCCCCCTTGCCCAATACCCTATTACTGCAGTACCTGTGTGACCACATAGGTGCTGTTCAGTTAATACCAATTTGTTGGTGAGTATATGTGGTGCTTGTTTTTCCATTCTTGGGAAACTATAAGATGTGCTATATCACCATTGTTTCTTAGAGCTGAATAGTACTCCATGGAATACATATACCACACTTTATTAATCCATTCTTGGATTGATGGGCACTGGGGCTGTTTCCACAGCCTTGCAATTATGAATTGTGCTGCTATAAACATTCAAGTGCAGGTGTCTTTTTTGTAGAGTGTCATTGGATCTTTTGGGTAGATGCCCAGCAATGGGATTGCTGGATCCAATGGTAGATTCACTTGTATCGCTTTAAGGTATCTCCATATTGCTTTCCACAGAGGTTGAACTAATTTGCAGTCCCACTCCCACCAGCAGTGTAGGAGTATAGAATTTTTTTATTTCCATCTTGATTTCTTCATTTATGAAGTAATCATTTAGTAGGAGGTTGTTTAACTTCCACGTTTTTGTGTAGAAACGTGAGTTTCTGTTAGGGTTGATTTCTACTTTTATTCCACTGTGATCTGAGAAGGTACATGGTATGATCATTTTTTTTAATTCTTGAGATTTACTTTGTGTCCTAGGATATGGTCAATCTTAGAGAAGTCCCGTGAGCTGATGAGAAAACGTATAGTCAGTGGATTTAGGGTAGAAGTCCTGTAGATGTCAGTCAGACCAGTTGTTCCAAGGTTTTGTTTAAGTCCATTATTTCTTTATTAATTTCTGTTTGGGAGGATCTGTCTTGTGCCGTCAGTGGGTGTTGAAATCTCTGGTGATTATGGAGTTGCTATTAATCCATTTGCTTAGATCAGTAAGGTTTGCCTTTATGAAACTGGGTGCCCTTAAGTTGGATGCATATATATTTAAAATTGTTATCTCTCTTGTTGAAGTGTGCCCTTCACCATTATATCATGACCTCCTTTGTCTTTCCACTACTTTTGTTGATTTAAAAACTAAATCGTCTGAAATTAGAACTGCCACGCCAGCCTTCTTTTGGCTTCCACTTGCTTGGAATCCTGATCTCCACCCTTTTACTTTTAGTCTATATGCATCCTTGCAGGTTAGATGTGTTTCCTGAAGACAGCATATACTTGGCCTGTATTTTTCTTATCCATTCAGCCAGCCTATGTCTCTTGAGTGGAGAGTTTAAGCCATTCACATTTATTGAGAGAACTGATAGGTAAGGTAGATTACTGTTCATTCTGTTGAGTTGTTTGTTGTTGCTTTGGTTTCTCTTCTTGAGCCATTGTATTATCTGGCCTTTAATCTTTGGGTTTGGTTGTTTTATATCGTGTTTTTTATATGGTGTTCCGTGCATAACACTGTTTCGAGTGCTTCTTGTAGGGCTGGTCTTGTCTTGGTGAATTCTCTGAGACTTGCTTGTTCTGAGAATGTTTTATTTCTCCTTCATATATGAAGCTTTAGTTTTGCAGGGAATAAGATCCTAGGCGTGTGGCATTGTTTTGTTCAGAAGAGTAAATGGGGCCAGTCTCTCCTTGCTTGTAAAGTCTCATTAGAGAAGTCTGGTGGTTATTTCGAATTGGCTTTCCCCTTGTATGTCACTTGCTTCTTTCATCCTTACAGCTCTTAGAAGGCCTCTTAGTGTAATATTTTTGGTCAGTCTGATGACTGCATGTCGTGACGTCTTCCTGTTTTGCAT